CATTGATCGCATATGGGGCTTCCTCTCGCCGACCAAGAAAGAGGCAGCATGGCCTATCGATGGAACTGGGTCATAATTGGTGAACCCAGTTCCTGACCCACTCTACCCATTTAGCTCTATGGACAAGCCGTGATGATGGCTTCTAAATATCGCATCCATCAAACTCTGATGCAAGGGCTGGCAAGCTACATTAATGTATTGTTAGATATGTTTCTTTTTGTGTGTGTGCAGGTCATGACACCATGCCGAATGAGTGTGGACCTGCAAGATAGGTTCCTGTTAACTGCTTTCATTTTTTGTGGCCGAGGCTTCCACCATTGACCATTAAGTCAGTACACGAGCTGGTCAATGGAAGTAATAGAGCAACTAAGTAAGTGAAATATGGCCATGCATCCCCACTACCATCAGCAGGGTGAGAGGTCTAATACACAAGGGGTACCTAATGTGTGTTTTCTCATCGTGTGGATGGATGCATGTAGCCGGCCAAAAATGTAGTTCTCTGTGCACGCGTGCACATAGTGAAACCAACACAAACTCCTAAAAACCTATCTAGGGTAGGCACCCAAACCTATCGTGGTATGGGACAGCTGAGGTGCACCTACTACACACGGTGGCGTGCCTGAGGTGCATCTCATTGAAGGTACCTACTGTTAACAGTACCAACATCTAATCGAGTAGCCCATCCTTGTCGTGCATGTGGTTCACCTACCTGTGGGTTCATGTAAGCCGGCAATACTACACCTGCGCAGGCTTCTCTATTTATATGTCACGTTCCATGTCTAGGACTACACCAGCAGTCTGCAAGCAGGCATAGCTCAGCAGTAGGTACTTCAGCCTTCCAAATTTCTCCTTGCGATAGGTTCCTGGTATAGGTACCAAAACAACACTTGTTGTGGTCCATGTGCCAGGCGATGGTCAAGTAGATAGATTACAAGAACATACATTGTCAAACCATTAATGTTACTTTTAGCAGCTTTATCTTATTTGGTCCTCTTTTCAGAGCTTAGCATGTGCCAGTGTGAATTTTTATTTGGAACAAATATACCTACAAACATGGAGTCGTAACTATATTTGCTTTTGTTTTAAATCTAAAAGCTATGTGGCCTATGTATGCACTAGTGTATGTTATATATCTCACAAAGTAGGTTCCCACTCATCTAGCTGGAACATGGATAAGGTTTAGAGCATCATCATCAACATAAGTTTGTGTGGTTTGGTCCACAGGAGGATTGTACCTCTTGGCTGTGCTCTGGTTGGTGAATGGGAACAAAATAGAAAACGGGAAAGTTTCACCATGGAGATTGTAGAAATCAGGATGATGGAGTAGGGGTTGCGCTTTACCAATCTCACCACTGCCTATGTTTAGTTGATGCCAGATCTTATTATTTAGTCTGGCCATAGATGTGGACACAGGCTGGGAGTTATGACCTACCTAACCGTACCTTGTCATGTTTCTCACAGCGGCCTGCATGCTGTGTTCCTGTTTCGCATTTCGTCTGCCTCATGCAAGGCATTAGATGCGCTGTAAATTCCTGCCACCGATAGTGAGTTTCCTGCATGCAGGGGAGTAGCTGATAGTAATTTTTTTGCATGCAAAGGAATGCAGTAGCTGATAGTAGCTTCCTTGCGTGTAAAGGAGCAGCTGATAGTAAATTTGTATATAAGGGAAGAAGACACGTGTGGTGTAAATTTCTCCTACCGTAGTAACTATCCTACCTGGGAAGGGCAGATGAATTTTTTTGTCCTTTTATGCATGTCCCATCAATTGTCCATACACTTCATTGGATGCGCCTTTTTTTGTAGTCCTCAGACCCTCCACAAGGACACATTGATCGCATATGGGGCTTCCTCTCGCCGACCAAGAAAGAGGCAGCATGGCCTATCGATGGAACTGGGTCATAATTGGTGAACCCAGTTCCTGACCCACTCTACCCATTTAGCTCTATGGATAGGCCATGATGATGGCTTCTAAATTTCCCATCCATCAAACTCTGATGCAAGGGTTTACAAGCTACATTAATGTATTGTTAGATATGTTTCTTTGTGTGTGTGTGCAGGTCATGACACCTTGCCGAATGAGTGTGGGCCTGCAAGATAGGTTCTTGTTAGCTGCTGTCGTTTTTTGTGGCCGAGGCTTCCACCATTGACCATTAGGTTAGTACATGATCTGGCCAATGGAAGTAATAGATCAACTAAGTAAGTGAAGTATGGCCATGCATCTGCACTACCATCAGCAGGGTGCAAGGTCTAATACACAAGGGGTACCTAATGTGTGTTTTGTCATGGTGTGGATGGATGCATGTAGCCGGCCAAAAATGTAGTTCTCTGTGCACGCGTGCACATAGTGAAACCAACACAAACTCCTAAAAACCTATCTAGGGTAGGCACCCAAACCTATCGTGGTATGGGACAGCTGAGGTGCACCTACTACACACGGTGGCGTGCCTGAGGTGCATCTCATTGAAGGTACCTACTGTTAACAGTACCAACATCTAATCGAGTAGCCCATCCTTGTCGTGCATGTGGTTCACCTACCTGTGGGTTCATGTAAGCCGGCAATACTACACCTGTGTAGGCTTCTCTATTTATATGTCACGTTCCATGTCTAGGACTACACCAGCAGTCTGCAAGCAGGCATAGCTCAGCAGTAGGTACTTCAGCCTTCCAAATTTCTCCTTGCGATAGGTTCCTGGTATAGGTACCAAAACAACACTTGTTGTGGTCCATGTGCCAGGCGATGGTCGAGTAGATAGATTACAAGAACATACATTGTCAAACCATTAATGTTACTTTTAGCAGCTTTATCTTATTTGGTCCTCTTTTCAGAGCTTAGCATGTGCTAGTGTGAATTTTTATTTGGAACAAATATACCTACAAACATGGAGTCGTAACTATATTTGCTTTTGTTTTAAATCTAAAAGCTATGTGGCCTATGTATGCACTAGTGTATGTTATATATCTCACAAAGTAGGTTCCCACTCATCTAGCTGGAACATGGATAAGGTTTAGAGCATCATCATCAACATAAGTTTGTGTGGTTTGGTCCACAGGAGGATTGTACCTCTTGGCTGTGCTCTGGTTGGTGAATGGGAACAAAATAGAAAACGGGAAAGTTTCACCATGGAGATTGTAGAAATCAGGATGATGGAGTAGGGGTTGCGCTTTACCAATCTCACCACTGCCTATGTTTAGTTGATGCCAGATCTTATTATTTAGTCTGGCCATAGATGTGGACACAGGCTGGGACTTATGACCTACCTAACCGTACCTTGTCATGTTTCTCACAGCGGCCTGCATGCTGTGTTCCTGTTTCGCATTTCGTCTGCCTCATGCAAGGCATTAGATGCGCTGTAAATTCCTGCCACCGATAGTGAGTTTCCTGCATGCAGGGGAGTAGCTGATAGTAATTTTTTTGCATGCAAAGGAATGCAGTAGCTGATAGTAGCTTCCTTGCGTGTAAAGGAGCAGCTGATAGTAAATTTGTATATAAGGGAAGAAGACACGTGTGGTGTAAATTTCTCCTACCGTAGTAACTATCCTACCTGGGAAGGGCAGATGAATTTTTTTGTCCTTTTATGCATGTCCCATCAATTGTTCGTACACTTCATTGGATGCGTCTTTTTTTAGTCCTCAGACCCTCCACAGGGACACATTATTCGCATATGGGGCTTCCTCTCGCCGACCAAGAAAGAGGCAGCATGGCCTTTCGATGGAACTAGGTCGTAATTGGTGAACCCAATTCCTGACCCACTCTACCCATTTAGCTCTATGGACAAGCCGTGATGATGGCTTCTAAATATCGCATCCATCAAACTCTGATGCAAGGGCTGGCAAGCTACATTAATGTATTGTTAGATATGTTTCTTTTTGTGTGTGTGCAGGTCATGACACCATGCCGAATGAGTGTGGACCTGCAAGATAGGTTCCTGTTAACTGCTTTCATTTTTTGTGGCCGAGGCTTCCACCATTGACCATTAAGTCAGTACACGAGCTGGTCAATGGAAGTAATAGATCAACTAAGTAAGTGAAATATGGCCATGCATCCCCACTACCATCAGCAGGGTGAGAGGTCTAATACACAAGGGGTACCTAATGTGTGTTTTCTCATCGTGTGGATGGATGCATGTAGCCGGCCAAAAATGTAGTTCTCTGTGCACACGTGCACATAGTGAAACCAACACAAACTTCTAAAAACCTATCTAGGGTAGGCACCCAAACCTATCTATGGTATGGGACAGCTAAGGTGCACCTGCTACACACTAACACAGACTCCTAAAAGCCTATGTAGGGTAGGAGGCGGCACCTAGAAGGGCCTCAGGTGACCCTGCCAGTGGACAAAAGGTACCACTCGTGTAATCGCAATCACGCATGCACCCACTCGGGCCTAACGTGTTCGTAGCAATGCACTGCATCCGGCATTGGTGTTATGCCCTGCCAGATTGGTAGCGTGCCTGAGGTGCATCTCATTGAAGGCACCTACTATTAATAGTACCAACATCTAATCGAGTAGCCCATCCTTGTCGTGCATGTGGTTCACCTACCTGTGGGTTCATGTAAGCCGGCAATACTACACCTGCGCAGGCTTCTCTATTTATATGTCACGTTCCATGTCTAGGACTACACCAGCAGTCTGCAAGCAGGCATAGCTCAGCAGTAGGTACTTCAGCCTTCCAAATTTCTCCTTGCGATAGGTTCCTGGTATAGGTACCAAAACAACACTTGTTGTGGTCCATGTGCCAGGCGATGGTCAAGTAGATAGATTACAAGAACATACATTGTCAAACCATTAATGTTACTTTTAGCAGCTTTATCTTATTTGGTCCTCTTTTCAGAGCTTAGCATGTGCCAGTGTGAATTTTTATTTGGAACAAATATACCTACAAACATGGAGTCGTAACTATATTTGCTTTTGTTTTAAATCTAAAAGCTATGTGGCCTATGTATGCACCAGTGTATGTTATATTTCTCACAAAGTAGGTTCCCACTCATCTAGCAGGAACATGGATAAGGGTAAGAGCATCATCGTCAACATGGATAAGGGTAAGAGCGTCATCGAGGAACCAGCGCTGCCACTTCCATTGGATGGCTTGGATGCCCATGACATGGTGCCACCACTTCCATCGGGTGGTTTGGGTGCCCATGTCCCCGTGCCACCACTTCCATCGGGTGGCTTGGGTGCCCATGTCCCCGTGCCACCACTTCCATCGAGCGGCTTGGGTGCCCATGTCCCCATGGCCCAGGTATTACTTTATTTAGTTGGCTTTGAATGAAGCATGATGGTATTGTCTTACCCCGTACCGCCATTCTCTTAGACTATTTGCAACATGACACCGCTATTTGTGCACCATGCTTAGTTGTGCTATGACCGCTCGCGTGCGTAAATGAGTTCAGGTGGTAGCTTAATTCCCTGGGTCCACCTATACACGCAAAGATGTTCTGACTCTTCATATTTGCTTAACTTTGTTGTAGGATTCGGTTTTACTTGACATATCACGCACAAGCATGCTAAGACAGATCCTTCCCAAGATAGGCGCGGTTATTCGCACCGAGGGAGCAGTTAAGGTGGATAGCAAGAAAATGATGGCCTAGCTCAGCATTGAGATTCCTTCCCAATCGGGCAGCAAGGGCTTACCGGAAGTTTGGACTTTCCACAGCGTCCCTTGCATGACCGAATATAAGGCACAAGAAAGTGTTTATGAGCAAGCAATCTGCTATTTTATAGCGAGGCTGAATATTTGCATCAATGATCTAACTTATCCTGCCTTTAAGGAAACGTACAAGCAACTGAACCACTTCATGTCCTGGTCCCAGCTTGTTCAAACTAGGTATGATATGCTACGCGTACAGACGGATAGCCTATTGAAGTCTCATAAAAACTTCTTGACCGCCTTGGCTCCATCTGTTCAAGCTATGGTGATATCCTTTCGTTAGCGACTCCTCTTACGTCCATTAGAGCAGAGCCCTCTCCTGGACCAGACCCACGGTATGTCCAGCTTGTCGAATAGCTATTCAGCCTTGTGCTGGAGAACACCCCTATGTACATCCCTTTTGGGAGCCTTTAAAGGTATGCATGCTCCTTGGTTTGCGCCAGTTTCCAACCACTCTTCTGTTTTCTTCCGAATGACTCACTAACCTGTGCTTATGCACTCCCTGGCAGGGGCACAATCACCAGAGCTCTCTAGGAAGTCCGGGGGTACTACGTCTGGAGCCCTATGCTATCTTAGCGGTCTCTTGAGGACGTTGTAACCTAGTACTATGGCACAATGCTAAGTACCATCCAGCGAATATTCCATCGCTAATACCAGCACATGTGCAGCTAGAAGCCCATGGCTCATTCCATCCACCTAGAGTCCCAGTCTCTAATATGTTATTTAGCAGTGTTAGTCTCCTATGCTATTCTAGCATGTGCGTTGTTAAGTACCTATGTGTGTACCTTTGGTTGTGTGTATTCTCGCATATGTACTGTCCAATGGCCTTGTTTGCCACCTTGAGGTAAATATATGTGTTGGGTGTTTGTGATGGCATGTATTCCATATTGGAACAGCAGGACCGTTCCCTAATCCAAATCTATTATCTGGTAATATGCCCAACTACATTGAAGCCTGGACAATGGCAGTTCATTTTAGTGGTGCTCTAATCAGATGTTTAAAAATACAAGAAATCAGAACAACTAATTTGACGTCGAATGAAACATGCTCAGTACACCCACACCTAAAACCTTTATCAGAGCATCACTAACCTTGTGTGCTAATAACCACTGTGGTGTAAGAGGTGCAGGTCTGAATGGCTAGCAGGTAACAAGCATGGGAACAAGAACAAACCCAGAAAACTACGCTTGGCCAGCAAGTAAAATAGCCTATAGAATTCTAAAATGGTACGTGTATGCATTTACTACCTGAGAAGAGAATCTAGCACAACCACACTAGTAAGTTCAGGTTCGAGTCGATGCTTACAAAACATCAAAATATGGTCGCCTCCATTTTTTAACTTCGTACTTCACTAATTGACCAGTCAGGTACCAGCACACCGGTCTATCTCTGGCTGCATGTTTAAAAACACACCCTCTATCCCATTCATCTCCACTCAACACCACCACTCTGCCCTCGCTCAAGTTTCTTGCACGCTGCAGGTGATGAGCTATGCCCACAGCAGCCGCGCCAACCAGCAACGTGGCACCAGCGGGGAGGGGACGTTCCTAGTGGCACCACGGAGAGCATCCGGCTACGGTGCCAACAATGTCCACTCGCCGTCGCCCACAGAAGGCCCTAGGCTAGACGGCGTGCGAGAGTGGAGTTAGGGTAGCTGGGCTACGGAGATCCGCATCCCACACACTCGACTTAGGCTATGGATCGGTAGGTTTTGGCATGCCCTTGAGGCGGCCCTAGCCTATGATGCCGCCATGTTCTGCTTCTATGGTGAGTGCCTCCCCAGACAACGCAAGTTCAACTTCCCGGCCGTCCAGTGCCCTGCCATCCCTGACCACCTTCGCATCCACCTCACCATAGCCACCATCAGGGTGATCGTTGCAGACTACGGCCGAAGGTGTGCTCCATCCCTCGCACCCCTCATGTGCTGTGTAGTACCAGGAGCGCTGTCGGCACCACCTCTGGTGGCGATAGTGCTAGGTACTGATGGTGCTGGTGCCACCGCCGGCATTGAGGTAGCTGCCCTAACTGATGACCATCATGGGAACAACAAGAAGTACTTTTTTAGCTGCCTAGGCAATGAACAATTGTTTTGAGAGGGACCATCCCTTGGATTCGTAGTTTCCTTTCTGGTGAGAAATAGTTCTTCGTATGTTACACCCACTATCCATTCTTGTGTTATGTCCAATGAGAATTAGGTGTGTGTGGGGTGTTAGGTCCAATCGATCTATTTGTTGACTGTAATTGTGATCGCGCCTGGCGCTGCCAATTGAAGCCCTACCATAAACACCTATTTGAATGGTAAATACAAACATGCGTAGCACCAAAATTCACCCAACACCTACTAACATGGGGTATGAAAACAGTCTATTTAGCTAGCGTTTTTGTAAAATTCGAAGCAAGAGGAACCAGAAACTTACATGAGCACCTACAGGGGGTGGCGAGCACTGATGGGGTCATAGGCATGGCCTTCCCCTTTCAGCCTCCCTGCACAACAGCCACCGATTAGCGTTGCCTCCATGTGTCACGCCGTTGCTAGCCCTAGCTTCAGTATGCAACCACAACAGCCGGTTCTTACCTCCGTGTGGAACCACCACCGCCGGTCGTGGCTGCCTCGCCTTCAGGGTAGAGAGATAGGGCGCCAGCACACCGCCGTGCTGGGGAGCCACCGCGCCGATATAGGCCGTGCGCTCTTGTTTGCCAGCTCACTCTTGTTCTTGTATATTCAACTAACAGTTCACAAATTCCCCTTTTCCAAAATGTTTGACAGATAAAGTGAAAATTAACATATTCTCATGTACAGTACCTGAACAAATTTCTGGATAAATTTGTCATGAGATGTTGATTTTCAAAAACATCGGCGAAGCTTGCTTGCAACATGGTAGGTTTTCCACAATTTCTATAGCCTTGTACTTGAGACGCACACTGAAACTGAGCGCTCTGCTTGAGCTGACATTTAGAGATCAAATTGTTAAATATCTACAACCACTAATTGATCTGTTAATATATGAACTGTACGCTGCTAAATCCTGTTTTCACAATGCAAACAATTTTGACTATTTTGACGGAGCAGGTGGTGGTGAAGGTATCGGCGTGTGGCCGCCTTGCAAAGCCTGCGAGGTGAGGAGAAGAAGCGACCCACCTTCCACTCTCGTTGCATCGCTAAGACACAAGCCCTACAGGCCCAATGGGCCAGATCTAGCTGTCTGGCCATATTTTTTAATTAGGCTTAAAGTCTGGTCCGTGGTAGACTGGTAACATAACCAAGAGCCCTCTAGGTTCTAGCACCCGAACTTTTCAGTGATTTTGGTCGAGTCTTGGGTGTTTACGTAGTCTCTTTCTGATTTTTAGTGGTGAAATCATCTGCCCTTTTTCCTAACAGTATCTTATGAGATTTTTTCCCCGAACAAAGAGGGAAGCTTTATTAGCTAGCCATCGCAAATTACAAACGGCACAATGGAAGGACAGAGCACACGCAGGCACCTGTCCTTACCAATGTTTACAACGTCTCGCTGAAGAGGCTAAGGCATTTGCCACTTGATTGTACTCTCTCTCTACTTGAAACACTTCAAATCTCCTATACCAAGCACATCACCCGCAGCGAAGCGAGGCAGTAGTGGTCATGCCGTCGGACGCAGATGGTTTTTGTTCTGATTTGAAGTATTGTCTCCTGCCTTGTTCTCTTTCCAGGGGTCTTAAGGCTTGGATTGCCACCCCTCCCCCACTGCTGCCCACGCTTCGCTACAGGTGATGTGCTTGGTATAGGAAAATTCTTGGGAAATAAGGCTCATATGTCTAATATGTATTCTCATCGCATTGCTACGAATGGTTGATCTCTTTGCTACATTAAATGGGAAAATATGGGAAGGAAAGGTAATATGGTTTTTTTCATTATAATGTTGTAAACAAACATAGAGGTTGGTTGTCATTACATGGTGTCTATTCTAGGCTAGCAAATCAATGACATGTTAGTGGAAAGAAGTATTTGATGGAGTTGGGCTCAAGCAACTAACACACTTAGATTCAAAGCACAACATTGGCTAGGATTACATTATAGGTGGAAAGAGCAAAAACTACAACATAAGTATGTCTCCTAACGTGAGGGTTTACAAAAGAGTGAATTAGGATCCACTCCCCTTAGGCGAAACTACAACACATTTCGTAAATCTAGAATTACACAAAAGATTACACGACGTCGAACACTAAATTACACTGGGATTTAAAGTTACATGGTTAAGAGCAACCTAGTACAACCTAGGCTTACTCCAGAAGTCGGGATAGACGAGGGCAATGGAGAAACAACAAGATAATGATTATCCAAAACATGGCGTATGACCAATAGATCCAGAAATAGGAGACTGAGAAGTCAAACATCATGAACCCTAAGAGCAAACTAACCAAGGGTAGACTTGAACTTCTTCAAAAACTAGATCCCTTCTTTTCAGATTACACCATCGCCTCTGTCAGACGAACTATCGGGTTCATAAACCTGGGGTCCCTTGGGGACTGACTTCCACGCCAAGGCTCGGCCCAAATAGACAGCACGTAACTCATGGGCCGGCCCAGGAGTCTAAAACAACAGGCCGGAAGGGCGGTCCAGTCATCACCCGGAAAGTCTGGCCGAAGAGGAACAACGCCCGCTCATCGACTACTTTGGCCCACCTCTTCGACCGGAGCACTCGTTTCGGACTCCAGCCGCCTCCGAACGGTCTCTCCGATCAGAAGGCCTGGCCCAAGCACTACTTCCGATTCTGACCCCGCGTCTCCGACCAGGGCTCATAGGGACCCTGCTCACCGCTCTTCTCTTCTCCGACTGGCGCGACCAGAGCCGACTAGGGCCATCTGACCAGGGACGCCCACTCGGAAAGGACTAGGGGACGGACGGAGAAAGCAAGCCAGGGCACACAAGTCAAACCACTATACCAGGGACCATACCCTATACGC